TATTTGTGAAGATATCAGAGATTAATTAACCTGGATTTCTTGAATTTTGCTTCAACTCGATTTTTTTTTTAAATATGAATATTATATTCATGTGTTGGTGTATATTTTTTAACTTTAATTTTTATTCTTTTGTTTTTTTTCCCGACTGAAGTGCTCAGTAATGATTTTGCAGGTGATGTTTTGGGAACTGAGGCTTTAGCAAGTTCGAAGATGTATGTAAGCCATAGACAGATCTTACAGGATTAGGAAATATTGACAATGGCCGAGTATCTGGCTCTTTTGTCCCCTGTCAAGCTGCATTCTCATGGAAACATTCTGGATGGACGATCCTTTGTGCCTAAAACATTTCATGTCTCTACACCAAGGTTTCATTTCATTCTCCCACTCCATTACCTATGGTTTAATTAAGACCTGGGTTGTTTTTCTAGGTTTAGGTACTCTCTTTGATATGCCTTTTTCCCTTTTATCATTTTATTATTCTTCATTTTTCTTGCTTTTAATTGATGAAATCGAATTTCATAAAGTTTTTCTATGTCATATTTGTTGCAATTTTGAGAAAAATTATCAAATCTTTAATCATACTTTCAACATTCATCTATTAATCATACTTTGATATATTATCCTTGTATTTGCACTGAATTTGATAAATTATATTGTCTTGGTACGTTCCTGAACAAGAAGAGCCTTCTGGATTTCTTAGCTTGAACAGAGTCATGAGCCTGGATAGGTACACAACCTTTTATTTTTGTTTTTTCTTACGATTGGTTTATTGATTTCTTTTGATGTCTGTGATTTTATCTTTCCAATTTTTTAGCTGACTTGCAAGATAATCAAGATGCGTAGATCAGATGTGAACTTTCCGGCCGTGATCAGGCCTTCAAACATTCAAGGTACTATTAAATATTTAAAAAGTTTGAATTGGTTAAAAATGGCACTTAATTGATTCTGGGTTGAGGACTACAGGATTAATTGATTATGGGTTGAGGACCACAGGAGCTGGGCAACCTAGGAGGGCACTGAGTACGATAAATTGGAACATAATTCCACCTCCCCCTTATGCATGTGCAGTCCACAAGAGAGGTCTTTTAACATAGTATGAATTTCGTAAACCCGACACTTTGATATTTTTTCTTTACATTAATGTTTTAGTAATTTTTAATTCATAACAATATATATTTTCAGGAAAATGCTGATGCAAATAAGAAACCTGCCATTCCCATTCATCGACCTCTCACTAGGTTGGCTATTGATCTTTCTTTAATTCGTGTTTTTTATTGTAATTTTTGTTTTTTTGTTTTTCTTTGTCTAAGGAAAAACGAAAGGAAAATGATACATTTAATTGTAAAAGAAAATAGTTTTCTATGATCTGCATAACATAGAAAAGTTGAATTTGAGAAGATTTTTTATTGTGCTTGTGTGGCTGAGATGTAATTGTGAAGTTTCAATTGAACAAAGATATGCTTTTTGTAAGCATTTTCCTCTCACATAGACATCCATGTATGTGTTGCATAATTAGTGATTGTTATGATTCACTTCATTTGTACTCTAATCTCATTTAAGAATCTATTTGTCTTAAGATTGATGGCATGCTTACATCTCTCTCAGATAATTCATTCCATAAGGATCCATATTGAAATGATATTGATTGTTGCCTATGGAGGATATCATGTCAGAGGTTGAGGAATTGGTGGCAGTTTCAGCTTACCATGGATGATGTAAGTTAGATTCTATGGCCAAGTTAGATTTCTTTGTTTAGTTCATTACCGTAGACAAACTGAAAAAATGGGAGAAGTGTGTGTTTTTGCATGTGTGTGCTTATGTAATGTTGTTCTGAGCATATTTGGCTAAACTTAAGTTTACTTTTACCCAGAACTGGAGCAATTGAAGGGTATTGGATAAAGTCACAGTGGAATACCGAACACTCTCCTTGCGTATGTTTGTTCCATTTTTTCTTGCTCTATTTTTAGGTGCTTGATAACATTGATGGTTGTTGGTCAAATCTCAATTATTTACTTGCTTTTCTGATCTTACAATTCACTTTAGGATGAGATAAACTTTTCAAGGCTGAAGTTTGATTAAAATCTTGTCTTATTTGTATATAATTTACCTAATCTTCATGTTAACGGTAGTCATACCTTATTAATTTATCATTTTGCATCTACGCGACACATGGATATTTGATCACTAAATTATTTCTTTAAATCAGAAGTAAACGAATAAGAGAAGCATTTATTAATGCAGGAATTGGACAATCATGGTTGATGAATGGGCGAATGCTACAAAGGCCATTACAGGTTGTTTATCTGGAAGTTCTTTCTATAGAACATGCATATAAGATTAACTATTTACTTTCAACAGGGAATTAATGTGTAACTTTTGTTTTACTGGAGCAGAAGTTGCAAAAAAATCTGTGAAAACGTCTTCTTTTGAAGAAAATGAAGGGCTTCCACCTCCTCCAATAGACGAAGGAGCCTTTTTTGCTACACCTACTTCAATGGAACTGTCACAAGTGTAATATTTAACTGCCTTTCTTGACTCAAAACTTGTACAATTTTCATTTGTGTTTATGTGCTGACTTAGATTTGCTTATCTTGCTTTCTTCTATTG